AGAATGGTTCTGCCAAAGGAGCAGTCCTGTCTAGCACGAACATCCAGTCTATAATGCCTAGTGAAAGTACATGGAGTAGCCCAGGTGGCAGCTCTACAGACATCCTCAGTCGGAACTCCTGACGCAAAAGCTGAGGAAGCAGCTACAGCTCTAATAGAATGACCCCGGGGAACTGTAGGTAAGTCTATCTTGGCCAACTGATAGGACAGAGTAATAGTGTGAACTATCCATTTGGACAGTCTCTGAGCAGTAACTGGGAAGCCTTGATTTTGTTCCGAGTATTTAATGAAGAGCCTACTGGAAAGTCGAATAGACTCAGTCCTCAATCTATAGAAGGCTAGACAGCACCGGACATCGAGAGTATGCAGGGATCTCTCAATCAGATTTGAAGGAGACGGGAAAAAGGCAGGCAGGATAATCTCCTGGTCCATGTGAAAAGACGTGGCCACTTTTGGAAGAAAAGACAGATCCATTTGCAGAACTACCTTCTCTTTGAGAAAGTTCAAAAATGGAGGGTCTACCCTGAGGGCACAGAATTCATTAGATCTCCGGGCTGAAGTAACTGCTACAAGGAAAGCAGTTTTCCAAGAAACAAGACCTAAGTCAATTGTTGCCAAGGGTTCAAAAGGAGGTCTTGTCAGTGCCTGTCACGTAGGCAAAAGCGGTCTGACCGTCAGATGGAGGTTGCAGAGTCCCTTAAGAAATCTCTTAACCAATGGTTGAGAAAAAATGGAAGAACCCTGCACTGTACTGCGGTAATAGGAAATTGCCGCTGTATACACTCTTATGGAGGATGGTTTAAGTCCAGAACGGTGGAGTTCTAAAAGGAACTGGAGGATATGATCTATGGATGCAGAATTCGGTGAAAATGAGTGAGATTCAGCAAAACTAGAGAATCTACACCACTTCGCTGTATACGATTTTCGAGTGGACAACCTTAGCGCAGAATCAAGAATATATTGGATGTCCAGATGAAGAACTCGCGAAGCCAACAGAAGATTCGTCGGATCCGAGGACGTAGAGGAGGTAGATGGATTCACAGCGTGGAATGGTATGTCGGATCTAGGGATAGGATCAGTAGGAACTGCAGATGGCGTTGGTACCGGGCCGACGTTGACTGCTACCAAATTCGCCAGGCTGTCAGTTTCAGCGACGCTAGATCTGGGTGCTGGATCGTGCCCTCCTGCTGAGTTATGAGATAAGGAATGGGAGGGAGTTGAAGGTATTTCTCTCGAGAAATGTGAAGAAGTGTCGAGAACCATGGCTGGCGTGGCCACCAAGGAGTTATCAGCAGTCCTGTGGCCCCGTCGTGAATTATCTTTGCTATTACTCTCATGATGAGGGGAATCGGGGGAAAGCGTAAAATGTCATATCGTTCCAAGGGATCATAAAGGCATCCCCAGACGACCCCCGTTCGATTCCCGCTCTTTAGCAAGAAGTCGTGCACATCCTGTTTTGTCGGTGGCGAATAGGTCTATATCTGGGAGGCCCCATCGCTGGAACAGCCTGTTGCATGTCTGACGGTCCAGTTCCCATTCGTGCGACTTGGACATGTGTCTGCTTAAGAGATCTGCTTCCACATTGTCCGTACCCGCTAGATGTACTGCTATCAGGGTAATATCTCTCGGTATGCACCACTCCCAGATTTGCATTGATAGCCGGGCTAACGTTGGTGACTTTGTCCCCCCTTGCTTGTTCAAGTAAAAGACTGTGGCAATGTTGTCCAAGGTTATCTGGACGACTCGACAGCAAAGCACGTCCTCGAATGATTGCAGTGCTTTGAATACTGCAAGAAGTTCCAGGAAGTTGATATGATTCCTGGACTCCTGTCGGTTCCATACGCCCTGCATGTGTAGGCCAGAGCACAGGGCTCCCCATTCCAGCAGAGACGCATCGGTACCGAGAGTCACTGTAGGGTACCGAGCTCAGAACAGAACTCCGATGTTTAGGTTTTCTGATGCCGTCCACCATAGTAGAGATTGTAGGACGGAGGACAGGAGTCGAATTCACTTCATAGGTAAATCCGTCTGTGGCTGGAACATTCTGTTGAAGAACAGTTGAAGGGGGCGAAGCCGAAGTTTGGCATATGGAACTACAGCAATGGATGCTGCCATGTGCCCCAAAAGTCTTCGAACAGATCAGGCAGGAACAGTTCCGTCTCATTGAATTTGGTGGATGTGTTGAGCGATAGTGCGTTGTCTGTCTTGAGGGAGGAAGGCCTTCGCCACCGTAGAATCCAGCCGGGCTCCAACAAAGTTGATCATCTGCGTAGGGACAAGAGAAGATTTCTCACGATTAATGCAGAGTCCAAGGTCCTGCAATAAGTCACAAGCCATATTTACAGAGGAGCGAAGTCCTTCTCTAGTCCGGGAAACCAACAGCCAGTCATTGAGGTAAGGGTATATCTGAACTCCGCGGAGTCGAAGGTACGCGCAGACAGGGGCCATACACTTCGTGAAGACCCTCGGGGCAGTGGCCAGTCCAAACGGGAGCACCGTGAATTCGTAGATTTCAGAAGCAACCGCGAAACGGAGGAAATGCCTATGACATGGATGGATCGAAATATGAAAATAGACATCCCTTAAGTCCAGTGAGGCGAACCAATCCTCTCTCCCCAGCAACGGCAGGATATTTTGAAGTGTGGTCATCCAAAACTTCTTTGGTGTTATAAATTTATTGAGAGCTCTCAGGTCCAACATCGGTCAAAGACCTCCGTTTCGTTTTGGAACCGTAAAATATCTAGAATAGAAGCCGTGGAGTCCTTCTGATAAAGACAAGCAACAAATGGCTCCTTTAGAAAGGAGTTGGTGAACCTCGTCTAATAATACCGGTGAGCATGGAGTGAACCGGATAGAACTCGATGATGGAATGATGTCGAATTCAATTCTATATCCATGCTGGATGATGGATAACACCCACCCATCAGATGTAATGGACTCCCAAACAGGGAGTTGGCTTTTCAGCCGGTCCCCAAATGAGAGGGGGGAGGGTGGGGTTTGAAGGAGAGGAAAGGTTCGCCCGCCCCATCAGTGCTGGCGTTTGTCTCCGTCAAAGCAGCGGCGGCCTTGCTGGAATCGCTGGGGTGGTTGTTTGCGGCGTTGCTGACAATGCTGTGGCTGTTGGCGGGGTGGGTATTGCTGTCGGTATTGTGGACAGGTCCACGACCACTTACATCGAAGAAGAGGTTCCATCTCCATACACCAGGCCATCATCCTTGACTCATGGATCTTCTTCAACTTGTGGTCGGTCTTTGCATTGAAGAGGCTGGACCCATCAAAGGACATCTCCTCGATCCTCCTCTTCATCTCTTCCAGAAAGTTGCAGTTACACAACCAGGCGTGTCTCTGGAGAGAGATGGCACCGACGAGAGCCCTCGAGTCCATGTCCACACGATGTCTAGCTGTGGATAGCTGTTGTACCGCGACCTGCATTGCCTCCTTTACGAATACCCGCGCTAGGTCACCTTGATTATCTGGGAGGGCGGTGATGATGTTGTCCAGGCGCTGCATTATAAAGTGTTGATAACGCGCCAGGGTCACCTCATAATTAGAGATTCTTAGGCCGAGTCCCGAAGCTGCATAGACCCAGCACGCGAGGGAGTTGATCTTCCTTCCCTCTTTGTCGCAGGGCGCTGTGTGACCCCGTGCCTCCCGGCCTTGAGAAGATTCCACTACCACCGAGTTCGGTTTGGGGTGGCGGAGGAAGAATGGAATGTCCCCCTCCCGAACTCTGTACATAGCTTAATATCTTCTCGAGGTCGGTTGAGGTTGGTCCCATGGTTGGGTCATCGCTTGCCGAAGAGTGGTAAAGTGATGGAGGTCGATTGTTTGCCCCGCACTACATCGTAGAAATGATCAGTGCTGGGACCAGGTTGTTGATTTGCCTTGATTTCCAGCGACTTCACCAGCCTGGACATCAATTCAGCAAATGAGATGTGCGGCTCTTCTGGTGATCGACCTCAGACTTGTCCAAGTCCACTCAATATGGAGACGGGATGCTGGAAGAAGAGTCCCCTGGCAACTGCGATCTACTGCTCTCCTGAGACGGAGCACGCCCGGCTTCTCTCGAGGCCGTAGAATGAGGTCAATCCCGAGGAGCTGGTGGAGAGGATCAGCCTCTAGCAGCCGGGTAGTATCCGACGGATAGTCGGGCCATCTCGGTACGAAAGAGTACCAGGAATGGTACCAGTCATCGGAACGGGCTTCAGAAGACCGGCTCCTATGGCTTCTCAGTGGGGACAATCCAGTTCCAGTGTCGAGCCGAACAGGCGGCATAGGTGTCAGGGACCGGGCCCTCGGCAGGGAGTCTTGAATCTCACCATCGGAAATCGAACCGCAAGGTGGATCCTGGTGCAGTTCAGATCCCGTACGGTGTGGAGAGGCTGGAGGAGTAACTCTCATCGCCGCCTGAATGGCCGGACCCGAAGGCGTTAGACCGAGGAAGCCGCCGAACCCGAGTGTCGGTGTTTCGAATGCTCGGGTTTCTTTGGTTTTTTAGCCGGTTTTTCAGCCTTATCCCTTTTGGCCTTCTTGAGCACAGATGGCTTCTCAGGGACACTGTGCTTCCTCTTTTCCTGCTGTTTCTTGGGCAGGGAAACAGGCTGATCACCCATGGCAGGAGCACCTTCACCTAAAGGGCGTGAGGGCGGAGCAGCAGAGAAAGGGGCCGGATGTTGCGGTGGATCGGCTGAAGATGGATGGCAGTCAGGTGGAGCTGAAGTTGTAGCAGGCTTAGCCACCAGCCGGTCCAATTGTAAGAGAGCCTGGTCCCACAGGAGCTTACATAAGCGGTTCTCCCTATTCTTCCCGGCCTGTTTAGAGAAGGCCAGACAATGGCCGCATTTGTCCGTCCTGTGACCCTCCCCTAAACAGAGGAGGCATAGGTTGTGCGGGTCTGCAGCGGGCATTTTGGAGTCACACTCTCCGCACTTGCGGAATGCTGCTCGTTGCGCCATCGCAGAAGAAGAAAAAAGGAGGGTAGTATAGCGGGAGTAGATTATATATAGGAACAAGAAGAACAAGAAAAAACGGAGAGAGTAACTGGAACAATAAGAGCAATATAACTAGGGATACTAACTTGGAAAAAGAGAAGAAGAGTTCGAAGCAAGAGAGCACGAGGAACGATCTAAGCGAGAGCGAAGTGGCACGAGGCACAACAAACGGCAGTCGCAAAGACTGGAAAATGGCGGACACTCTGCTCCATATATACTGCTAGGGGGGAGGGGGAGGAATTTTCCCACCAAACCGTTAGCTATCAATCTTTCAGCCAAAGGCACTGCGCAGGCGCAGAACCCGTATGTGTGATACACAGAGGCCACGATGAAGAAACAATATACTGTTGACATCCCACATGAGGACAGTATGCAGCTGTTGACTGTACTGTGTTCATATTTGATGGATAAGGAAACTGCTCTCTGTTATAAAGGAGAAGAGGAAAGAATGAGTTATCCAATTATGTATAGGAAGTTGTATGGATTGCAAGAAACGGTAGTTTCCTTAGTTACAAACACACACACACAGTCTCAGTAAAAACTATTTGGCAGGAAAATATTAGAGAAAGTTTGAGATGTGAGTGAAGAAATACAGAATAATTCAAAAAGTATGTATTTTGTCTTGCAGGTGATTTCAGGAATCAAGTTTCATTTGGAAAAAAAATGTGGAAAGTTACTTTAGTTTAAACTAGCACACAAAACTGAATTATTCATTCCCATGCAGTGCAGAAATATTAATAGAACACCACCATTTATGCAAGCAAACATTGGTTTCTATGGTATTTTGTATAAATATAGCAAGGTGTAAATTAAGAGTGAAGTTTTGTGAAAACCAAACATTATGTGGAGATAAATTTTCAAGCAAATGATGTGAGTCTCAAAGACTTAGAATGCACCTAAGATCAGAGTCCAGTCAGCAGTTTTGTCTATATATTCCTGTTTCCTGGTTTAACTTTGCAGAGGCTGCATGCTGTCTTATATTTACTATCACAGCTGCCCACTGAAGGAGAATGAGATGAATCCAGCTCTTGCTCAAAATACACAGTACAGAATGAACTTAAAATCAGACTATGAAATCTGTAAATCCCTAACGTTGGTGAAGCTGCTTTAAAAGGCTTCCCATTCCCAGATTATCTTGAGTAAAAACACATCCTTAAATCAAGAATGCATTTATTTCCCCAATCCCCGTATCTTAGAGTGAAATACTGATTTCAAAACTACTAAGAAGTAAAACTGTTAACAAGTTAGTCTGAATATAAGGTGGCTAAAAGAAAATTAAACTGAAACTAGGGCAAGTAGGAGGAGGGTATCTAATCCTTTCATCAAAGTTGGTAGATCAAAGCTGAATCTGTATAATCTGGAGAAAAGACTATACAGAAGACAAGAAAAGATGGGTCTATATCTTTACAGTGCAATCCTACATATGTCCGCTCTGAAGTAATGCCTATAGTTCCAAGTTCAATGAAGATTAAAAGTAGGCCAGTAAATCTATTCTTGTGTATAGCACGACAGCTATGCTAGGCTATAGTCTTATTAGCATTATTATGTGGTAGAGAATGCAAAAGGAGTTTAAAGGTAAGTACTGTTTTACCTGATATCTCATTCCACTGAGTAACTGTGATGCAATATAGCGTGGTGTAGAAGAACCGTTCTTATTCCCACTCAGCCATGGAGTTAACTGGGTGACTTTGGGCTAGCCACAGATTTGACTCTACCCTCAGGGTGGCTCACACTACTTGAGGTCTAGACAGTGGAAATGTTGGACAGTACTTAATCAGTCCATTCTCTTTTCCTGATGTCCCTTTATAGGATCTAAAGAATTATCCCTCAATCTCTACCCTTCCCTGTTCTACAGTGTCTCCCTCCTGCTCCAAGACAGTTTATTTCCTATTCTGTGCCTGAGTAATCTTGCATGGTGACTTTGACAGTTCAGAGGCCTCTCCTAATTCTTCCTCTTCTCCTTCCCTCTCCAAATCTAAACTAGCTAGGTAGGTAGGGAGACAGTTACCTGGCAGAGCTGGTCTTCCTCTCTACATTAGTCAGGGTAGGCATGCTGTGTCTTCAGGAATCAGTGGGACAGGGTACCCACACATATCCAGCTTCAACTTTTTTTTTGACCTTAAGTTTCAAAGTGAAAAAATCAAAGCTACCTCCTTACTCAACCTGGAAGAACACAGATCCTTAGCTGAAGATTAGCAGCAGAGATCATCTTTGTCCAAATGCTTCCACTCCAGTTTTGAGTTACCATTGTCTTACACCTTCAATAGTCTTAGTCTTAATATCCTTCCCAATTTCCTGTTCTGAGAAAGGAGACAGGGAAGGAAGGGTCACTACTCCAAAGCAGTTCTGCCATGAACAGAAACTGTGCTTATCTGCAGTCACATGTGCCTTGCCAAGCACCAATTATCCTTCCTTCCCTGCTGGCTCAGGGAGAGTAGAAGTGCACCTGGAGACCTGGATGCTCATTCACCTTGACAGATGAGATACAGTGAGCTCTGTCTCTCCTACTGTTCCCAACAAAGTACTACAGATGTTAACAGGAGGAAAGAAATTAAAGACATGGCCTAGGTGTCCTTCAGCTTCCGAAAAAAACAGCACCCAGTAAATCTACTGGAACAAGGAATGCATGATCTTTAAAGCAGTTTGGGAACAGTCACATACAACCCTTCATTGTGTTAGTCATGTCTCTAAAATTAGGGTTGTCATGATGTTATCACCAAACACTGACAACACTTTGTAACTACACTGAAACATTGTTGGTGAGGTTTCATAATGTAATCAATTTATAAAAACATTATTGCACAGTCAGCTTGGTTTTCACAGGTTCTCTTTTTGCCTCCCTTGGGTTATGTATTCTCCTTGTAAAATCCATTTCTGGCAAGGCAATGGCATGAGACAAAAAATCAATTTATTAATGACAGTCTAGCCATAACTATCTCTATCTCTTTTCCTTCACCTCCCATATTTACCAATAAGGTCTTTTACAAAAGCAGACAGACAAACAAAAAACAGTTGTGATAGGTAACAGAGTAAGATGAAGATGAGATTGTTCCCAGGTAAAATGACTGGCATTATTTGTTTTTGCAGGCACCACAGGAGAAATGAAGTAATTTGTGAAACAGTAATCATATCCATTTCAGTTCTTGAATATTCAGACTGTTATTATAAAATACCACACTGCCAAATGTTCACATACTGTACCAGGAGATTGGAGAATGGCTATTGTAACATCAATTTTTGAAAAGAGATCCAAGGGAGATCTGAGGAATCACTGGCCACCTAGCTTAACATCTGTTCAGGGTGGACTGGTAGAAAGTAAGACGCAAGACATAATCAGTAAGCACACAGAGGGACAAGGGGAAAAGAATCAACATGAATTCCACAAAGTAAGTGCAGCCTCATCAGCCTCTTACAGTTACTGAGACTGTCAATAGCATATGATCCAGTAGACACTGTTTACCTGGACTTCTAAAAGGCTTTTGACAAAGTCCCTCACCAAAGATTCCTGAGCAAATTTCAAAGTCACAGAATGAAGAGAGGGGTTCTCTCTCTCATGAATCAATAACTGGTTAAAGAACAGAAAGCAGAGAGTAGGAATAAATAGTAATTCCTCCCAATGAAGCAAAGTCACCAGTGGGGACTTATCAAGTCCTGTATTAGAACCAATGTTCTTCAACCTATTCATAAATGATCTGGAATTAGGAGTAAGCAGTAAAGTGGCCAAATTTGCTGATGACAGCAAATTATTTATGGTGGGTAAGACTAAAAGGGCTTGTGAGGAACTCCAAATGGATCTTTCCAAACCAAGAAGAATGGACATCACAATGGCAAAAGTAGTTCAGTGTAAGCAAATGTAAAGTAATGCATGTTGAGGTAAAAATCCCAACTTCAAATTTAAGCCAATGGGATCAGAGCTAGCAGTGACTGATCAAGAAAGGGACCTTGGGGTTGTAGTGAACAGCTCAATGAAAATGTTGGCCCAGTGTGCAGCTGCTCTGATAAAGGAAATTTCCATGTTAGACATAATTAGAAAAGTAATTGAAAATAAAACTTCCAAGCACATACTTCCCTTTTTCAAATCTTTGGTGGGACCATACTTAGAATATTGTGTACAGTTCTGGTCACTGCACCTTGAAAAGGACATTACTGAGCCGGAAAAAGTGCAAAGAAGGGCAACTAAAATGATGAAGGGGTTGGAGCAACTCCTCCATGAGGAATGGCTGTAACAGCTGGGATTGTTTAGCTTGGAAAAAAGGTAGGTGTTTAAAATTATGCATAGTGTGAAAAAGTAGAGAGGGAGACATTTATCTTTTTTTGCATAATAATAAAACCTGGGGTCATCCTATGAAACTGATTTCTGGGAGATCCAGGACAGATAAAAGGAAGTACTTCTTCACACAGCACATAGTTAAACTATGGAATTCACTGACACAAGAAGTAGTGATGGCCACCAATTTGCATCTTTTTAACAGGAAACTGGACAAATGCAGGCAGAAGAAGACTGCTAGCCTTGCTGGCTATGTGTTGCCTCTGTTGTCAGAGGTGGCTTATCTGTGTACACCACTTGCTGAAGAGGCAGAACTCTTGAGGGATCCTGTGGGAAGCTGCCTTGCCACCATGTGAACAGACTGCTGGAGTGGATAGACCACAGTTATGATCAGCATGGCCTTTCTTATGTTTATAGGAAGCCTGCTTCTCTACTTTATATAATGCTGTAAGATACTTTCCCCCTATTTATGGCTTAATGTATGTTGTGAAGCAAATATGATGTACAAATCACAATACTATTATTGTTTTGACTACAAAGTTCCAAAGATTTGAATCAATATTGTTCTTATATACACCTTACTTTTTTCTCTTAGAATGCTGGCCTTCCTGCCTTCCAAAATCAATAATAACCTCAGGTGTAATCTACAAAGTAAGACTACATTTAAATTCATTGGAGTAAATGGCAGTTAAGCACATGACTCCTTTTTTCAAATCTCAGACTGATGCAACTGGAGCACAGGCATTTCAGTTTATGGCATAACAAATACATATTTATGGTTCCCAATTATTTTGTTTAAATATAAATGTCAATATATCCCTTTCTTGGCATCACTGTAACACTTATAATTTTCTATTTTCTATGACAGGGAATATTGCACATCATATTTTTAAATAGCTGCAGCACAGAGGATTTTAAAAGATGAAATTCCTTAGCACCAGCTTTTCCAACCCAGTTCTGTGGGAACACTGCAATCTAAACATTTAATGCCAGTGTTGCTTCACTTCTAATTTAGGATTTGCACCAAGGGCATTGTTTCTGCTTTCATTTAATACTTCTCACATAACAAGCACAGAGAGCATGGCAATATGATAAAGAGATCAGGTCAAATTAAGTACATGACAAGAAGCAGAAGACCCAATATTTAGCTGAAGGAGTCACAATAATACAAATGCACCCATGACTCTACTAGCTGTGTAGGTCACAGACACCATATGTCTGTTCGTATAGACTAAACTCCTTCCAGGGTTCCTACCATCTGCTCCAAGAATAGCATGAGTTGCTATTCCCTCACATTCTAAATGCAGAAGGGTATAAACAGCAGATTTTTAAAAAGTGTACATCGAGTCTGAACAGAATTTGGTTAGTTGGGAACAAATGTATACTTCAGAGAAAAACATAGCACTCCTAATAGGAAATTTGGTTGAGAAGTGCTGCCAAGACTGTAATTAAAATGGAAAGAAAGCATAGCCAGCAGCCACAGCATGACATGGTGTCTATGGTGTTCTTTTGAAACTGGAGAATCTCAATGTTATCTTCCAGAAAGATGCATTTCCACTTACTTACTCATCCATCAGCAATTGCCACTAATATGCAACTGTGTCCCATTTTCAAATTTAAAAGGTGGGCTTCAAACCGATTCCCACCATTCTACACCTAGTAGCAGCTTCAATGCATACATGTTCACTAGATGCACATGAAACAGCTGTTTTGAAGAGCTGACAAAAATTAAAAATGCAATGTTCCACAAAGTCAGACAGATACTGATGCCATAGAAATAAAATTCCTTCTCAGATTCTTGCTTTGACTATTGATTTATATCCATGAGGAAGGGGATTAGCCAAGAATAGTCAGCATTTGACAATTAAAGAGACTTGGATGCTTTCCAATGCTCTCTCTTTCCCCCCTGAAAAACTGCCACAGAAAGACAACTCTCAAAAATCAAAATCTTTAAAGAACATTACACTGGTTAGTTAAAGGTATCATATCAGACACAAAAAATCCAGCAGTCTAGCTTTTATTGAATTACTGTGGATACAAATGCATTCAAATCTGACCAAAAAATGTTCCCTTCCTTTTGTTTTTTTAATCATCAAATTGCAAAGACCCTCTCCATGTTTACCTAAGTCATGCTGGTAGAAGCTGCTTGGAGTGCAACTCTAAAACATGTGGAGGAGGCTTGCACACACATTATCCATGGTATGTGTATTTACATGTGGACCAGAAAAGCCTCTCAAGCTGTCATGTGCATCTTACAAGGGTTCTTAAGACAAAGAAACTTTATCAACATAAAAAGGTTGCTACGCAACTCAATGTTAAGAGCAGCTAAAATGATTAAAGCTCCAGGAAGGAACATCCAGCTCACTGGTTGCTATGGACACTGATTCACTGCACATCCACTCTGTTAAGAAAACAAGTGGTAAGCATCACCTAGTTTGTGTTCACTTCATGTCACACTCGCCTTTTTTTGTGCATTGCTTGATAAAGTGAGTGAAAGAAAGACACATACTTAACTCTACCTTTAGCTAAAGGGATTTTTTCAAAGAACTGCAACAGCCGGGAGAAGCAAATGGGCTAAAGGGAGGGGGATATGCAAACCAGGGAAAAAGGATTAAAGACAACCATCTGGTTTTACCTGCATATGATGAAAGAGTCCAAAAATTTACATGGGATTTTTACTTGCATAAAGTTTTATCAAGATTAAATACCCATGATTTTTTTCTGTTTAAATATCTTCAGATGTGATAATAAAGATATTATTCCTAGGTGTGCTTTGCACAGAAGGTACATCCAAAATGCATGTTAAAATTCACATTAGATTCTGATTGCGTGTGCAACACAGCTTAGAAGATGGTAATATGCACAACACAAGTGGGAAAAGGTAGCACAAAGTCCAGGAAATCACCAGCATGGTAATGCATAGTGTCAAGGAAGCTAGTATGGAGAAGAAAGCTTCCTTCAAAAAAATGGAAGTCTTGCCCACACGAAAAGAACAGATGGGCCCACAAGCTTGCACAAGGGATATAAAAGCAGACCACCAAAGAAGCAAAGAAACAGTTTGAGGAACATGTAGCTAACAATATCAAGGCTAACAAAAATAATTCTTTAACTATATTAAAAGAAAGAAAGTGGCTAAGCATGCAGCTGGGCCACTTGATGATAACGGAAGTAAAGGAGGACAAGGAGATTGCAGAGAAACCGAATGATTTCTTTCTGTCACTCTTCACAGCAGAGACCGGTCTCTGAGCATATGTATTCTGGAAGGGAGTCTGAGCAATTAGGGCAGATAGTAGAGACAAAAGATTAAATTTTCAACTTTACTGACAAACTGAAACTAACAAGTCACCCAGCCCAGATGGAATCCATCCTAGAATTAGTAAAGAACGCTAGCATGAAATTGCTGGTCTTTTTATCAAAACATTTAACATGCCCCTAAAATTAGCCCTTCTACCAGAGGATTGGAAAAGAGCCAGTATAATGCCAATTTTTAAAGAGGGATCCAGGGGGATATGGAAAATTACAGGCCCAATAGCTTAACATCTGTTCTAGGTAAACTGCCAGAAAGCATTACTAAAGATAGAATCAGTAAGCACATTGAGGGACTACTGCAATGTGCAAAAAAAAAAAAAAAAAAAAAAATCTGCATGGTTTCTGCAAGAAGTCTTGCTCACTAACCTATTGTAATTCTTTTAGAGTGTCAATAGGTAGATCCAGTAGACATTTCTACTTGGACTTCCAAAGGATTTTTGACAGAGTCCTACATCAAAGGTCTCTGAGCAAACTAAGCAGTCACACAATAAAAAATGTGTGTGTGGTGGGATCATCTTATGTATCAATAACTGGTTAAAAAAACAGAAGACAGAGGTTGGGAATAAATGGCGATTTCTCACAATGGAACAATGTCACCAGTCAAGTCTCACATATTAGAACCAGTGCTTTTTAACCTATTCATAAATGATCTGAAACTAGGAGTGGGTACTGAAGTGGCCAAGTATGTTGATAACATTAAACTTTTTTAGGCCAGTTAAAATCAAAAGCAATTGTGAGAAGCTCCAAAAGGAACTCTCTAAGCTGGAAAATGGGCATCAAAATGACAAATGGAGTTCAATATAAGCAAGTGTAGAGTAATGCATGATGTAGCCAAAAAAAAAAAAAAATCCCACCAAAAATACATTGATGAGATCTGAACTAGTAGGAAGGGAATCTTGGGGTAGTGGTGGATAGTTCAATGAAAATGTTGACCCAGGCAGCTGCTGCGAAGAAGGCAAATTCCATCCTAAGCACAATGAAAAAGGGCATTATGGAGTTAGAAAAAACACAGGGAATGACAAAAATTATCAGGGGGCTGAACCAGCTCCCCCATGAGGAGTGGCTGCAACAACTGAAACTGTTCAGCTTAGAAAAAAGATGAGAAGGGGAGACATGACAGAGGTGTTTAAAATGATTTATGGTGTGGGGAAAGTAGAGGGAGGCAATTTTTCCCTTTCCCATAATGCTTGAGCCTGGATTTATCCCATGAAACTGATTGGGATGATTTAGCACAGATAAAAGGAAATACTTCTTCACACAACATACTGTTCAGCTATGGAATTTGCTGCCACCAATTGGTGATTGCTGTCAATTAAATGGCTTTAAAATGGGATTGGAAAAATTCATGAGGGAGGAAGCTGTCAGTGGCTAGAAGCCTTGCTGGCTATGTGCTACCTCCTTCACCAGAGGTGGCATGGCTTCATACACCAGTTGCTGAGGAGCTTGGGCAGGAAGAGAGCTTGCACCCATTCTGCTTAAGAGATCCTCTACACAGCTGGTTCTGGAGTATGGAGTGCTGTGCTATAGAGACCTTTGGTCTGACCCAGCATGGATTTTTATGTTCTTAAGAAAAGCTCTGGCATTTTCCACTTCAACAGTAAATGTGACAAAGAAAGAATGAAAATGTGGCCAGTCCATATAACAGGCTAGACTTTTATGATACTGAACATAGCACCTTATAATTTTAATATTAAAATCTCCTTCCATTTCACTGGTTTCTGAAAAACTAAGACTCAGTGTATTTTTACACCTTCCAAATAGTATTTTGTCCTTCTATTATTTTATGGGTAAAAGAGAAACCATCAGCACTAGAACTTGGCTCTTGTGATCTGGTAAAAGATACAGATCAACCTTCACCAAAAAAAGGGGGGGAGGGGACAACAAGAACTTGGGAGCCAATAGCATTTTTATTTCAGTTTTATTACAGACTCAAAAGGTTAATCTTAACAGGTTAAGATAGGATCCACCCATTCTTTCAAAGAAAAGGCTGATTTCAGGCACTTACCTGACAGTCAAAGTCCTGGAAGTTTCGAGTGGCATTCTGTCAAAATAAGAATAGAAACCAATGAACAGCCCAGATTCCACTGTAGTCTAATAAACTCTGCTCCAGCATATCACGTCTAGCAAAACTATGACTTGAATTAAAGATTCTTGCACTAAACAAGACAACAAAGTATGCAGGAATCATTACAATTAAGGAAGGAAACTTTCACTGCTTCTTCAGCCAGTAAAGTGAAAAACTCATTTTGTGACATGGACAGTCAAAGAGTAGAGAATGAACCACTGCAGCAGTTGTGTACATTTACAGTTCCCATAAATAGTATCATTTCTAAAACAAAGTAGTCAACTTAGTCTGTTGCAGCAAAAATAAAACTCTTGTGACTAATGACTAACAAATTATCTAGCCTTTATCATCATTTCTGAACATTTTCAGAATTGTTCATATGTGCATTTTCAAACAGTCTATTCAATTATTTCAAGGCTAAAGTTCTCTTATATATATAATATTATGACTTGGTAGAACAACTGCTTAGTGGTAGAGGCTCTGCATGTAAAAGCTCTTCAGTACAATCCTTAGCATCTCTTGGTATGGCAGTGAATTCTGTGCCAAATGGATCAATGGTCTAATAGAAAGCTTCCTATATGCCTCTTAAACACTTCTTAAACAGGCCACAAAACTTGCACATAATTCAGCCTATAGCTATTTTACAGAATTGGCTAGGGTTTTAGTTCTAGATTTTATATCAACTCCCAGCTCTCCCTTTAGAAGGGGAAGTCCAATCTTCCCCGCCCACTGCTGCCAGGAGGGCGGAAGAGAAGCACTGCCTACACAGCACTTGGTGTTTGATTCCTTGTGAACGCTCCACAAACACTGGATGCACTTGCCAGGAACTTGCCCCAAGAATTCAACAGATGGATGGATTCTGAAGAAGCAACTAGAAATATGTCTGTCACTCTACATCACCTCAAACAAATGATTTATTATTCCCAGATCTAAACTTTCAACCACCAAAGTGGATGAAAAGCTCTAATCCACAAGAGCTTATGCCATAATAAACTTGTTTGTCTTAAAGGTACCACAATACTCTATTATAGATTTAAATGGCCATTTACAGGGTAAACAAAGAGGAAGTGCCCATGACTTGCCATCAAAAAGTTGGCAAGAGAAAAGCAGAAACAGAAAGAACAGCAGACACAAGAATAAACAGAAGAATCTATTTTTCCTTATCTTAAAGTGAAGAAACTTTTAAAAAGTTTACTGCAGAATGTTAAACTCTGTTCCCATACTAAACAGTGCAAAGCTGTAGGAGATACTTAAGTTTTTACACATAGCTGACAAAGAACACAAAATTACTAAAGTTTTGCTAATTTTTAAACCCAACCAGATGCATTACCTTATCATTCAAGAGAGGTTTGATCTCTGTCAACTGGACATCTTGCAATTCTTCCATTTTTATTGAGGACACTGAAGTTAGTTCTCAACAGCAATGCACTCTTACTAAAAACAGAAAAGAGAACAATTAAGATTACTACTTTAGAAGAGATCCCAGGTTTTCACAGAAAAGACTAAGAGCATGAATGGGGAACACAAATATAGCCACAGGAAGGGTCAAAACTTCTTACAACTTCTTCCTCCACCCTTCAAAATACAGTATAGAGGGAGACATTGTCTATGGCTGGCTGAAGCTAATGATCTTTCCTGCAAACACAGTAGTACCTTGGCTCACAAACTTAATCAGTTCCAGAACGCTGGTCGTGACCCAAATTGGTTGTGAGCCAAGTCAAATTTCCCCATAAGGTTCAATGTAAATAAGGTTAATCCATTCTGTAACTATTTTTTTTTTAAATCACAAAAATTTGAAGCAGGCATGCTGGGGGGCGGGGGGGGCGGGCGCGATCGTGGGCGCACATGAGAGGGGAGACGGGTGGGATCGTGACTGTCACCCAATGCAAAGTTCACGACCTGAGGCAAATTTTTTTCCAGAAATTTCTGTTCGCCACCCAATTAGGTCATGAACTGAGGTGTTCGTGAGCCGAGGTACCACTGTACAAGTAGAACAGAATTTTATTCTGACAATCCAACCCTTTCTAAATTCTCCATAACTTCTTCTAGGACACAGCAGTAATTTAGTTCATCTTCTTGTTCCTGTTGTTAGTCGCAAAGTCGTGTCCGACCCATCGCGACTCCATGGACAACATTCCTCCAGGCCTTCCTGTCTTCCACCATCCCCCGAAGTCCACTTAAGCTAACACCAACTGCTACAGTGACTTCATCTAACCACCTCATTCTCTGCCATCCCCTTCTTCTTTTGCCATCTATTGCTCCCAGCATTAGGCTCTTCTCCAGGGAGTCCTTCCTTCTCATTAGGTGGCCAAAGTATTTGAGTTTCATCTTCAGTATCTGGCCTTCTAAAGAGCAGTCAGGGTTGATCTCCTCTAGGACTGACTGGTTTGATCCCCTTGCAGTTCAGGGGACTTGCAGGAATCTCCTCCAGCACCACAATTCAAAGGCCTCAATCCTTCGGCACTCAGCCTTCCTTATGGTCAGGCTTTCACAGCCATACATTGCAACTGGGAAAATCATAGCCTTGACTATATGCACTTTTGTGGGCAGGGTGATGTCTCTGTTTTTTAGTATGCTGTCTAGATTTGCCATAGCTTTCCTCCCCAGGAGCAAGCGTCTTTTAATTTCTTGGCTGCAGTTCCCATCTGCGGTGATCTTGGAGCCCAGGAAAATAAAATCTGTCACTACCTCCATTTCTTCCCCATCTCTTTGCCAGAAAGTGAGAGGAACGGATGCCATAATCTTAGTTTTCTTAATGTTGAGTTTCAAGCAAACTTTTGCACTCTCTTCCTTCACCTGCATAAAGAGGCTCTTTAGTTCCTCTTTACTTTCTGCCATTAGAGTGGTATCATCTGCATATCAGAGGTTGTTGATATTTCTCCCAGCAATCTTAATTCCAACTGGTGATTCATCTAGCCCCGCCTTTCTCATGATGTGCTCTGCATATCAGTTAAATAGGCAGGGCGACAGTATACAGCCTTGCCGAACTCCTTCCTCAATTTTGAACCAATCAGTGGTTCCGTGTCCAGTTCTCACTCTTGCTTCTTGACCCGCATATCGGTTTCTCAAGAGACAAATAAGATGGTTTGGTACTCCCATCTCTTTAAGAACTTGCCACAATTGTTTGTGATCCACACAAGGCTTTAGCATAGTCAATGAAGCAGAAGCAGATGTTTTTCTGGAACTCCCTAGCTTTCTCCATGATCCAGCATATGTTGGCGATTTGATCTCTAGTTCCTCTCCCTCTTCGAAATACTGTCTGTACTTCTGGTAGTTCTCGGTCCACATACTGCTGGAGCCTAGCTTGTAGGATTTTGAGCATCACTTTGCTAGCATGTGAAATGAGTGCAATGGTGTGGAAGTTTGAACATTCTTTGGCATTGCCCTTCTTTGGGATCGGAATGTAAACTGACCTTTTCCAATCCTGTGGCCACTGCTGAGCTTTCCAAATTTGCTGGCATATTGAGTGTAGCACTTTTACTGCATCATCTTTTAAGATTTTGAATAGCTCAGCTGGAATACTGTCACCTCCACTAGCTTTGTTGTTGCTCAGACTTCCTAAGGCCCACTTGACTTCACATTCCAGGATGTCTGGCTCAAGGTCAGTGACCACCCCATCGTGGTTATCAGGGATGTCAAGCTCTTTCTTGTATAGTTCTCTGTGTAATCTTGCCACCACTTCTTAATCTCTTCTGCCTCTGTTAGGTCCCTGCCATTTTGGTCCTTTATCATGCCCATCTTTGCATGAAACTTTCCCTTCATATCTCCAATTTTCTTGAAGAGATCTCTGGTTCTCCCTATTCTATTGTTTTCTTCTATTTCTTTGCACTGTTCATTTAAGAAGGCATTCTTATCTCTTCTAGCTATTCTCTGGAATTCTGCATTCAATTGGGTGTATCTTTCTCTTTCTCCCTTGCCTTTCGCTTCCCTTCTTTCCGCAGCTATTTGTAAAACTTCCTCAGACAGCCATTTTGCTTTTTGCATTTCTTCTTCTTTGGGATGCTTTTAGTTGCGACCTCTTGTACAATGTTGCGAACCTCCGTCCATAGTTCTTCAGGCACTCTCATCTATCAGATCTAATTCCTTAAATCTATTTGTCACCTCTACTGTATATTCAGCAGGGATATGATTTAGGTCATACCTGAGTGGCCTAGTGCTTTTCCCTACTTTCTTCAATTTAAGCCTAAATTTTGCAACGAGAAGCTCATGAGCTGAGCCACAGTGGGTTCCTGGTCTAGTTTTTACTGACTGTATAGAGCTTCTCTATCTTTGGCTGCAGAGCACATAGTCAATCTGTTTTCTGTGTTGACCGTCTGGTGATGTCCATGTGTAGAGTCGTCTCTTGGGTTGCTGGAAAACAGTGTTTGCTATGATCATCGTATTCTCTTGACAAAATTCTACCAGCCTGTGCCCTGCTTCATTTTGTACTCCAAGGCCAAACTTGCCTGTTATTCCAGTTATCTTTGGCTTCCTACTTTAGCATTCCAATCCCCCATGATGATAAGGACATCATTTTTGGGTGTTAATTCTAGAAGGTGCTGTAGGCCTTCATAGAACCAGTCAACTTCAGCCTCTTCAGCACCAGTGGTTGGGACATAGACTTGGGCTCATGTGATGTTGAACGGTTTTCCTTGGATTCGAACTGAGATCATTCTGTCATTTTGGAGATTGTATCCCAGTACTGCTTTTCCTACTCTTTTATTGACTATGAAGGCTACTCCATTTCTTCTGAGGGATTCTTGCCTGCAGTAGTATACCTGATGGTCATCTGAATTAAATTCACCCATTCCTGTCCATTTTAGTTCACTGATTCCTAAGATGTCTATGTTCAGTCTTGTCATCTCTTGTTTGACTACATCCAGCTTGCCTTGATTCATGGATCTTACATTCCAGGTTCCTATGGAGTATAGATCTTTGCAGCATCGGACTTTCCTTTCACCACCAGATACATCTGCGACTGAGTGTCCTTTCGGCTTTAACCCAGTCGCTTCATTCTTTCTGATGCTACTAGTACCAGCCCTCTGCTCTTCCCCAGTAGCATATTAGACACCTTCCCACCTGAGGGGCTCATCTTCCAGCATATCTTTTTGCCTTTTGGTACTGTCCATGGGGTCTTCATGGCAAGGATACTGGAGTGGGTTGCCATTTCCTTCTCCAGTGGATCACGTTTTGTCAGAGCTCTCTGCTATGACCTGTCTGTCTTGAGTGGCCCTGCACGGCATAGCTCATAGCTTCACTGAGCTACACAAGCCCCTTCGCCACAACAAGGCAGTGATCCATGAAAGAGTTAGTACATCTAGCCTATTTTAAAAATAATTTTATATGTAAGAAAAATATATGTTATGTCATAAAGTTGCTAATGGGTATGCATAGCTAACAAGAGAAATGCAAAACAGAAATGCATGATCAGTAGCATCCCCCTCCCTCACACAACAGGATTTAGCTCAGAAGCCCTGTACCAAGACACAGGTGCCTCTCCCTACAATGCATCAATCATCACACTTTAATGCCACTATTTTTGTCTTCCAGGTCTATGTAATGTACCACATAGTCTATGTGCTATTTTTGTTATGCAAATGTCATTATTTTCCTGATTATAGTCCTCTGACTTAAAGAAGTTTTAACCTCGGAGTACCTTTTCCTATGGTCTCATTAAAAGTTTGTGTGGCACCCACATCATTTGATAAACTTTGAATTTGGAAAGGACAGGTTATATGTTACAGGACTTCTGCTGTTCAGATATACCAACTACATATTTATGTGAAACATTTACCTTAACGTCTGCCCAGAAACAAAATTTCTGGTATAAGATATACCTATAGGAGGTATAGGGAGTATGTTACTGCTAAAAAAATAAATAATACTGAGAAGGGCAAGGACCTTCGGTGTATCCATTCAAAACTTTAATGAAACTTAGGCACTATTTTATTTTGAATCACACAATTAACATTTTCATAACATTATAAAACCATTTCTATATAATTCAAGTGGCAGCACTGTGGCAAAGTTAGGCTTAGGGTTCCAACTCCAGCTTCCTGAACTCCTCTCCTCCTTTGGGTGGAATGATTCACTAATGAGATTTCCTATATCAGGAATCTCAAAGTATAATTGCCTGAGAATTAAGACTACTGTTTAAAATAAATTTACATCTCTTTTAATTTTGCAACTGAATTTCTGTGATTTGTCACATGGTTCCCTCTGAGATTTAATTGTGAATCAATAGTACTAAATGAGAAATTGAGAAACATGTTGCCTAATTTACTACAGGGTTGATGCACTACTGAAAAAATAGTGGGTTTTTTTAATTAGATGGATTATAAACCCCCCAGGTGTCAGTTAAATTGGTTTGGACTGGCAACTGAGCTCTGGTCTTTACCATAATGACTGTGTTGCCTGGGTCCCAGTGCCTCTATCTAGCTTCTTGCTACCCACACCCTGGACTACTACAGAAGCATAGCAGCAGTACAGAATAAAATGCAATAAAGTTAAACTGTGAAAATGCCAGGAAAATAAAAAAGTCTACCTGGCACTGAAAAGAATACAAAATAGGTGCCAGGTGCACCTCTTTAGGAAGCTCATTCCACAACTGGAGTGCCACAACCAAAAAGGCCTTGTTCCTGGTAGCCACCTGATTCACTTCCTTTGAAAGGGGCTCCCAAAAAAGGAACCCTAAAGATGACCTCA